CTTTCCCTGTTACTTCCTATCTCAGAGTTTCTCATTGTATAGAAAGCCTTCCACATCCAAAAAAGAAGAGTCCATACAGAACTGCTCCACAGGACATCTTCTTTGTAAAGTCCAGCTCCTCATACACACAGTGTCCCATCTTACACAGAGCACTACTGTCAACCAAGCCCGTACAAAAGGCAGACCCTACACACTTCCCCAACACAGCACCTGGTCACCTTTGCACCATTCCTCACCCTCCCACACCTAACAGACTGGGGCTAAAGGGGAAGGAGAAATAATTCCCACAATACAGGATTCCACAAAGATCCTCCCAAAACCTGCCAAAACACACACATCAGTAACGTGAAAGCAGTACTGTCCTCCCACCATCCACCTTGGTGGTTCTCTCCAGCAATTTCATTCAATCTGTCCATTCCCAGCCTTGCCTGCTCCCCCACATAACCTCCCCCACAGTTCCCATGTCTTTGTGTATCTGCCTCTTTTCCCCTTGTTTCCTTCCCTTATGATGGGCTCTTTCCTTCTGCTTTTTTCCCCTAGTGGATAAAGCCACATTCATGGTTGGTAGTTACGGGCCACGGCCAGAGGAGTATGAATTCCTGACACCTATTGAAGAGGCCCCCAAGGGCATGCTGGCTCGGGGCACCTATCACAACAAGTCCTTCTTCACCGATGACGACAAGCATGACCATCTCACCTGGGAATGGAATCTGTCCATTAAGAAGGATTGGACAGAATGAGCTCACACCCTCCTTGCCTTCCCCTTCTTGCCCCTTGCCTATTGCACTAGTATCCTGGTGTGCCAGGCCCTGGGCCCTGCACATCACGCTGCCTTCTATCACAAGTTTCAGAGCTCTTGTTGCCCTCTCCCATTACAGGAGAGTCTGCACAAGCAGGTGTTTACAGAGGCCCAAGGGCAGGCTCTGCATCTCCTGCTACTACACTGAAAATAACCAACCCATCTTCAACACAGACCTTTTGTGGCACACAAACAGGAAATCAGGGAATGTCTCCAACCCTGCTGTTCCTTATTTTGCACCAAACCTGGCCCCTGAAAGTGCCTTTTCTAGGAACCACATTAACAGTACCTGCTTCATAATGATTTTGGCAGAGCAGATTGTCTCTTAAAAGATCCCCAACAGAGTTACCTTTGCTCTGTACTCCAATTCATTGTAAATGGCTCTTCCTATTCCATTATGGTACTTTATCTGGGTCTATTGCTCAAGTCCATTTATGTCTTGACTTTTAAAGGCAAAAACCAATCAGTAATACTCAATTAGCTGCTGTGACCTGTAAAGACTCCAGTGTCCCAAAAATAAAGCCATTTTCTTTCCTTTCTTCTGAGTGAACCTCTATTTTTAATGTCATGTGTTTCTATGAGCTGCCCTTCATATATTTAGAATAACTGTAACGTGGATAAAGAGTGTCCAAAGTTAAATATTAAAACAAAATTAAAATAATAACAACGGTCCCATAAACTTAATGTTTCAGAAGAGAGATAACACTTAGGCTTCATGGAATAAGCCACCCACTCTACTACTGAGGGCTAGGAAGATACTTTTTTCCTGTAGTCCAATTATTTTATCATTGCCTTCTGCAGAGTTCCTATGTACTGTTTTGGGTAGATGCTTCCTTTGAAACATCTAACACGGCCCACCATCAGAGACAGGGTACTGGCCTAGATAGACCATTGGTTTAGTTATACAATGTTCCTGTATAATAAGTCTAATGAGCTTAAAGGCCTCCATAATATTTTTAGCCATTTGCTGCACACTGTCCGGAGCAAATATATGGGTTTCTTAAGCTGTACATGCAAGCAATAGCCCAGGAAATGGTTGTCACTGGGCCCTGGCTGCCTGACTGGACACAATAGAGGTTGATGTATACAGTTTCCTCCCATTTTCTCTGGGATATAGTGAAAAATAATAGCAGCAACCTTCTTTGTAGGTGCAGGGGAAGTTCTTTCTAGTTTGGGGTGCACAGTCATGGGGCAGGAGCAAGGACAAGGATAAGAGTCTGGGAGAATGGAGATACCATCCTGGTGCCAGTCCTCTCAGAGGACTTGGGATGCGGTGCATTGCAGCACACTCTCAAAGCATTCACAGTGGAGGAGTCTATGTAGTCCCAGCCAGTGGTAGGGCTCTCTCCAGGTCATTCCCAGCCAGTGGTGTCAGGATTAAGTTGTTCTGTATCCATGCCATGACCTGAACAGAGCTGAGAGGCACTGGGGCTCTGTCATTTTGCTAACTTTTATCTCAGGAGCTGAAGGTTTCTCTCTCTGCCAGATGCTCAGTTCCCACTGGCACTGGGAGCACCATGTCTGATCAAGAAAGAGCTGACGTGTCACCCAGCCAGGCAGGAACCAACATGGAACAAACAGCAAGGAGGAGAGAAGGCGAGACAATGGCCTCCTTTGTGTTGTGGTGTCTTTTGATCTTCACCTGGGGGGTCCCCTCAGAGTGTGCTGAGGAAGGTCCCTCACCCCACGGTAAGAAAGTGACCTTGAGGTTAGCTCATGGAGAGGATTATGTGTGTGTGTGAGAGAGAGAGAGCAACCCAAGGAGCATACAGCTGAGACATCCTTTGGGACTTGCATGAACCATGGATGGGACCGTAGGGTGGGTGAGTCTCCTCACAGTTCTGTCTCTTAGGATGCCATGAGGAGGCATTGTACCAGCACGGGAGAGAGATCTGCTGCAGTCATCATGCAAAGACCATGTGGGGCTGGTGTGTGTATTTCTGTGCCTATGAAGGGCTTGTCCGCTGAGCTGCTATCCATGCCTTTGCTATGCAATGCTGACATATCCTCTGCTCACTCTCTCCAGGTGCCACTGGAAATGCAAAGAAACCTGTGCTTCTGAATGATACTGAAACCACAACAGCCTTCATCAGTGCTGCTGAGGTGGCAGTCGTTGGATTCTTCCAGGTCTGTTCACATCACTCTCTGTTTCCTGAATAGGTTGTTTTTTATTATGAGGATTACATTGGAACTGGGGTCCACTGTGCTGGACAAAGACTAAAGAAAGACAATTTCTTTGCGTAGGCATAATGGATTTGGGCAGAGAAGGGATGTCGCATGCAAGTAGAGTAATCAGAGTGAAGGGCTGTGAACATGAGAGAGTTCCATTATTTTTATATGCCTTATATATAAATTGTGGGATAAGGTGAGGGGCAATATGAGGAAAAAGTTAATTGGATCACAGGCTTAAGAGAAAGGAGGGAAATGTTGAAGGGAAAGGGGGGACAGGAACCTAGACAGTAGAGGGATAAAGACTGCAGTGTGGACTGGGGGGCGGGGGGGAAGAGGGGTAGTGAGGGAAAAGACTGGTTGATTGCTCCAATGACTAAAGGGGAAACATGTATAGAGTTTGAGCAGTAGAGCATAGTGCCAATGATGTAATTGATGTCTAAGGATCCTGAGGTGCTTTTCCCCTGTCTAATCCCTCTGATTTGCTGCTGCCACTTTAGACTTTGTCAAGGAGTTCAAGCTTTGTGCTGTCTGAGCAGCAGCTCCCTCCGGGGATGTTCCACTTCTCTCAGTCCTGTGCCCCAGACTGGAAGCCTGCTCAGAGAGCCTAGGGAGAGACCTTCCCCCCCACCCCCACTGCTAACTCAGAGGAAAGGCTGCACAGCTTCAGAAAGAGGTGATCGAGGAATGAAAAATCATGCATATGCACCAGGGACAGAGATAAGGCTAAGAGTGTGTGTGAACTTCGCTGACATGTTCTGCCTCTAAATGTTACCCAGTTCATAAGCTCAGACTACAGCTTTACCAGATTTCCCAGGGTTTCTCTCTTTTGGCACTATTTGTATTGACCCCAGCAGTACAGAGTGTGCACATGGGTGAAAGCCACTCTTGTACCAAGGGGTGGTACAAATCCTATGTGCCACGTCATGGCTTATCCAGGGCTTAAGTATTATCTAGGGTTTGCCTTTGTTCTTTGTGTGCAAACGGATTTCACCCTGAGTGAAGTGGTTGACATTTGGAGTGAGTCACTGTGCACCATAAAGCAATTCTCTTCCTCAAACCTTTTGTTCATGGTTGAGTCTATCACTAAACTAGCCACACACATATGGAACATGCCCTCCCTTCACTTAGTGTGACAGGGAAAAACAGCGCAAGAAAAGCCCTGTGTGTATGTGAGAAGTGAGATGTTCAAAGGCTCAGCATCTGCCCTGACTGCAACCTGCTTTTTTTTTTCTGCTGCAATGCTCCAGAGCTCAGACTCCCCGAGAATCATCTGAGCCTGATTTCTGGTCTCTTGACAAAGCCATTTTGATGCAAAAGCGGGTCTAAAACAGGCCCCAATAGTTGTTTTTCTTTGAACAAGGGAAGTATGTCTTTTTTCCATTCTCCCAAGCAGCTGAACCAACTCTGTTCAGAGCTTTTCTGTATCCAGAAAAACAAACAAACAAAGCAGCCATCTGAAATCAACTCCAGACCTTGAGACTTTAAGTCTGATAAATGAAAGTAATGCAAAAATATGTCATTGATAAGAGGAGGTTGGAACGGAAATGGCTGACAGAGAAGTGTAAGTGCTAGAGAGGGCTGTTGCAAGTGCTCTGATTATACAAAGGAGAAAAAGAAGTGGTTAGACAAAGAAGGAAAACAATGAAAGCTGAGATGATTCTTACCTCATCAGAGGATGCCAGAGCTAGGGCGCTGAGTTCAAATGAAACCCGTGATAAAATCACGAGGGCATTGATTCTTGGATTTACGCTGCCCCATGTCTCTGTGCTGGTCTTCGAGATGTTTGGAGTGGAGAGAATGAGAGATTTGCCTCATCTTGTCCTGGAAGAGAGGGAAAGAAGGCAATGAGGAGAAAAGGTGCAGGGTAAAGGTGATTAAAGCCCAGGTTTGAGGACTTGTTTGTATGTATGCACACACATACACACCCACGCTGTGCAGGGAAGAGTGAGAATGCAGGAAGGGAGACAACAAATGTAAAGGAAAATGATTCTATGCAGAGTGCTATGGTGGAGGAACTGGATGGTGTTACCAGATCTGGCCCCAGTTGCTTCCCACTCCTCACACTCAGCCGGACTGTGGATTCAGATACACAAGCTCTCCAAAATCCCTTGCTACCTCTCTCTCCTTGACACACAGTGGCCTCCTTGGCCTTCCACTTCCCTCTTTGTGAGCTCTGCCAGTTCATCTGGCTCTCTTTCTTCCTTTTTTTTCTGTCCCCTAGTAAATGCCTGGGCTCCCCACTCCCTGTTCTTATTCTCCATAGCCTTTTAACTCCCAACATGTCCCTCCCCACTTATCCCCACAGCTCTGCACACACAGCTAGAAGTAAGTTGCCAGGATGCCAGTATAGGATGTGGAGGTGGACTGGGAACATGTCTGGGTGGTGAGACTCCGGGGATGTTTAGACAAACAGGCTCCTCTGTTTTCAAGTGGCCTATTTTTTGAGAAAACCTGTGCTAGTAAAAAATGGCCAGCAGATGTCACTGTTCTCCCTGCTAAATCCCCTTTGCAGCCTGCTGAGGCAGGCCAAGAAGGGAGAAGTAAGCTTGGACTGATATCTCCAGCTCTTTTTAATGTGATTTTTCTTAACTCTTTTTCTCCTTTTTTCCTATCCTCTTTTCTTCACTTTTTTGTTGTTCCTTTCTTCTCCTCTCTCCTCTCCTTTTCCCATTTGCTCTATTTTCTTCTATGTCTTCTCTTTCTTGTTCTACAATCCTTTTTCTTTCTCTTCTTCTCAGTCTCTCCATTTTCCTCTTTTCCACTCTCTCTATTATTTTTTCAGGAACCAGAGAAGCCAGAAGTTTTAGAGTTCCATAGTCTTGTAGGAAAAATCCGAGATGTGCCCTTTGGACTCAGCACCAGCCCTGAGGTCCTGTCTCATTATAACATCACAATCAACACCATCTCCATCTTCCGCAGGGTATGTCAGCCTTGTGTCTCTATATCCCTTCTATTAGCACTGCTCAATGCACTGAAATAAGATTTTCTATCAGTAAGATCTAGAAGTCTTCTCCCTTTCTCCTTTCATAGAATGTATTCAGAGTAACATGGAGAAAGATTTGAGACAGTCATACAATACCTGATGATCTCTAGTCATGTATGGCCTGAGGTGTCTATAGAAAGAAAGGCCCTGATTCTAGGGCTCCTTGTTGTCCATGGTCACTAGCTCCTGCTGTTATATACAGGAGCCTCGTGGCTGGATGATCTTCCCACTCAGGAATGCTCCATGCTCAGGCTGGGGACTGACTGGCTAAGCAGCAGCTCTGCAGAAAAGGACCTGGGGGTTACAGTGGACAATAAGCTGAATATGAACCAACAGTGTGCCCTTGTTGTGAAGAAGACTAACAACATTCTGGGCTGGCTGCATTAGTAGAGCATTGCCAGCAAAAGTGATTATTCCCCTTCAATTGGCAGTGGTGAGGCCACATCTGGAGTACTGTGTCCAGTTTTGGAGCCCCCACTACAGAAAGGATGTGGGCAAATTGGAGAGAGTCCAGTGGAGGGCAACAAAAATGGTTAGGGGACTGGGGAATATGATGTGTGAGGAAAGGCTAAGGGAATTGGGCTTATTTAGTCTGGAGAAGAGAAGACTGAGAGGGGAATTAATAGCAGCCTTCAATTACCTGAAGAGGGTTCCAAAGAGGATGGAGCGAGACTGTTCTTAGTGGTGATAGAAGATAGGACAAGGAGCAATGGTGTCAAGTTGGAGTAAGGAAAGTTTAGGTTAGATATTAGGAAAAAAACTTTCTCACTAGGAGGGTAGTGAAGCACTGTAACAGGTTGTGCAGAGGTTGAAGAATCTCTGTCCTTGAAGGTTTTTAAGACCCGGCTAGACAAAGCATTGGCTGGGGTGATGTATTTGGGGATGGCCCTGCTTTGAGCAGGGGGTTGGACTAGATGACCTCCTGAGGTCCCTTTCAACCCTAATTTTCTCTGATTCTATGATAATATAGGAGTATAATAGGGTGCTTTCCCCTTGACCCCTATATAGGAGCATGGGAGTGGTGTGGAAGAGGGGAAAAGGAGGAGGGAAGAGGCATGGCTGGAGCATAGAGCACTTACTGCTCTAAAGTGCTGCAGTGGCCTACAGACTGCTCTTGTGGAAAAACACACAATAGAGAGGTTTCAGGGTTTGTTCCTTGGCAGGCCCCAGAACCCAGAAGGTGCGAGTTAATGTAAAGCCCCCTTTATTTCCTCTTTGTCCCCTAATTGTTTCCTGCATAGAGCTTTAGTAGAAATCTAGTTTACAGGCTAGGAGGAGATTTCAATTCCTGCTTCAGAGAAGAGAATGATCCAGTTTTGCATGCAATCTAGAAACAGAGACTGCATTTACTGTCACTAGGTGCTGAGAATTGAAACAAAACTCACCTTGTCTATGCTTGCTGGGTTACAATGATTTTCTTTCCAAGACTTTTAAGGATCTCTCGTTTTCCTCAGCAGGAGAAATGGAGGGTAGCTAAAGTGGAAGGCTGCTTTATCAAAATAAAAGACATACAGAGTTTGGATTATCCTCAGTTGTCCCTGTTTGCACTTCTGCTTTTGGGGTTGAAAAATCATTTCATAAAAAACCAGAAAGAGATCAAATCCCTGATCCAGATTTAAAATGTGGTTGACAGTTCACTTGTATGATTCCCAGGCTCCAATAAGCTTAAACAATTGAGACATTTTTTGCTGAAAGCTTGTGTAGGAGGTGCGGGTCAGATCAAAAAAAAGAAAAAGAAAAAAGAATTGGAACACAAACCACAAACGTGGAATACAGCATTCATCCAAGGAATGGGAAGACATGTTAGCAAATCAAAATGATGGCAATCAAACAATGGTCCTTTAGTTTTGTATAGCCTGGCAACACCCTAAAATTACAAAACTCTGTGCCTGTCAGAGAGATCAGGGTCTCAGCTGGTGGAACTTGATGCTGCTGCAGAGAAGTTAATGGAGTTATGTTGGTTAATGCCAGATGACTGAACTGATAAATACGAAAAAAAGACATAATGAAGTGAATGTAACTGTATGGAGTGATAGAAACATCCTGTTTTAAGATAAACTACTATATAAAGGCAGGGCCGTCCTTTGTGGGCGGGAGAGCAAATCGGGGCGACTGCCCTGGGCCCCACATTTTGGGGGGCCCTGCAGAGCTGGGTGGGTACCAGGTGGAGCGGCTGTGGCCCCTTGCAGTGTTAAAGGGGCCTCTCAGGTGGGCCTCTCACCCCCCTCTGGTCATCTCTGTATACAGGACCTGTTATTCCCCTCATAAGATGTAATCTTTGCATCATTCAAGAGTATGTTTGGTTTCTGATTTTCCAGAAATGGAAATCAATAGGTTGAAAAACAAACCCCACTGAAATAAATGGGTGTTTTTCCATTGTCTTTGATTGATGTTAGACCAGCTCCAAAGATCTGCCTGATATAATTTGCATTGGTTTGGCCTCAGGGGCTTGCTCTTGATTTACAGTAGAGTAAGTGGGAGAAGAGTCGGTCCTTATTACTTTAAGAGTAGTACTGTCAGGAGGAGTGTAGCAACACACCAGATCAAAGACAGTTCTAGTGACCACAGAATGGAAAAGAAGGGGACTGCATGGCTCTGGAAAAGATAACATATATATGGACACATTTAAAACAATATGGGGTCTGCATGAAGACATCTCCTAGGTTCCATAAGATGAGCACATGTTTATAAACAAGGGATTAAGTCCAAAAGGGATCAACTGAACCATACTGTACTAAACATCAACATTGCAATGTCTCAATTCATCTGACTCCTGTAATGTAACTATATATATACCTGGTATACTTTGGAGTTTGTCTGTTCACTGTTTTCCTTCTCTCAATACCTGGTTGCTAGGAGAAGGACTAAAGTAAACCTTAATAAAATAGCTTCCAAAAGGTAATGGTGGTGAGAGTAAGTGGGTTGGGGGTTGGGGGTAAAAGGGGTTTAGAGAAGGGAGGTAGAGGTTGGGGGAGGGGCTTTTCTTCTAAAGTTGGAGTTTTCCAGGCTGATTTTTTTTCCTGCTGTACTGGAAAAATTCCTCTTTTTATTGGAGAGATTTCCTGCTTGCACAATGTTTCCAGGAAATCCACACAGGTCCATTCCAGCATTTATTAGTTTTAGATGGACTAAAATAAACAGATGGACTTTTCTAAAAAGATGAGAGAGATGTAGGGAATTAGATTTGTTTAATATTCTCTTTCCTGAATCCCTTTACATTTTATCAGTTAATCCTCCCTGGCTCCGGAGCTGCCTGTGCTGAAGATACAGGGATGTTAAAATCCTGATTGTTTCCTTTTACTTCATGAAGTTTGTCCTGTCTTGGCTGGGATGCTTAAGGGAGAGACTGAAGAAAAAGTGCAAGATGGCCAGGCCAGCTCCCAGGGAGAACTGGAGGCCTAATAGTCTCAGGCTCACACCTGAGGCTCACACCACTCACATCAGTACTTGCACCAAAGAATTTGTGTCACCTGTGTCTAGAGGTAGGGAGAAGACTATTGTATGGAGGCCAATAATGACTGCAGGTGTCTTTGCATCACCACAGGTCGATGAGAATCGGCAAGACTTGGAAATCACAGATGGCAAAGAAATGGACGCCACCAAGTTCAGCCGCTTCATTCAGATCAATGAACTCCGTATGGTGACAGAGTACAATCCTGTGGTAATTAATGATCTGCATCACCCTCACCCAGCATCCTCTCTCCCTCTCCTTCTCTACCTGTCTTGCAGTTATTCAGATTTTGGGGGTCATAGTGTCATCTTTTTCTCCTTTCATATGGCTGATATGGAACAGCAACTATAATTTTACTTTTCGGTGGTTGAATCAGATAATTGCATCAGGAGCAGCAGAGTGTATTGCTGTGATACCTCCTTCATATTTGTGGATCGGGCATTGAGTCACTATCTGTTCCGTGGTCTGTTCTGGGTGACCACAGCTGCACACTGGATATTTTTTAGTTTTCCATTTGTGTCAGTCTATAATGTCATCTATAGACTCTGACAGGGTATATCCACGTGGCACAATCCAGGGCCATGCAGAGATACCCAAGCTAATTCTGAAAGAACCAGTTTAGGAAGCGGCATAGCTGCATTAGTGCTAAATTGCACCTGAGTTAACACTGCTGCTCAGCATGGCTAATTAGCCTTAGCAGAGCACCTGGTTAATATGGTTGCACTGCTCCTGGTACCCAAACTAGCTCATTCAGAGTTAGTTCAGGTACTTTTAGATGGCTCTGCATTGTGTTGTACAGCCATACCCTTAGCAGGCACAGAGCAGAGGTCAGAAAGGAAATGCAAAAGTGTCTCTATGTACACAGTTCTAGCACTAACTCTTATCAAGTCAATAGTGCCTCCTTCTATCTCCAGGAACATAGGGTTTGTCATATTGGTTTCAGACATATGGGCATCCAAACCAGTTTTCTGTCTCCAGATGTGATTGGTGCCAGTTGCATCAGGGAAGATGCAAGAAACCCTGAAGAAAGCAGTTATGGAATAACTTGCCCATAGGAGATGTTTCTTTCTAACCTGTGTGGTTAAGCCTTGAAGCATTAAGGCTTGCAACTATAAAAATTTGGAACCACTCCACAGGAAACCCTGGTATCATTGCAATTTCCCAATTTTGTTCAGTGTTGATTAACATTAGATGAATTCATTCACCTTGCTGCTTGGCAGCCCACTGAGCTGATGCTTCTAGGCCCCTAGTGCCCCTCCACTGCACCAGATGGGCTACCAAAGGCCCAGGCTTCCCAGGCTTCTGTGCTCTCCTGGGCCTTTGAATCTCACCTGTCCAACAGTTTGGTTGCTGAGGAGCCAAGGACCTAAAATCCTAGAAGATGTAGAGTAGGATTGATAATTCTTGTCAGGTTCACAGCTTCTCACCAGTGAGTGGCAATGGCAATGGCAAAATTGAGCAGACTCCTACTGGATGCCATTCCATGGCGGGCAACTGACAGAAATCACATCCTTTTCAGCCAGGTTTCTCAGGGTTCCTACTGTGGTGCAGCCTGCCAAGAGGAGTGCATTTTATTTTGGAAATGCCATATTTTACTGTTTTACAATGGAATGTTCTGGGAGTTCAGTTCTGCAAAATTTTTTGAGGTTTTTCTTGTCCTGATAACAAATGGGGAAAAAAATATCAAAATCACAAGTTTTTCCAGGATGAGAAAATCATTTCCTGACAAGCTCTGCTTGCATCTCTTTCAAACTACCCAAATAAAATATAATGTAACAGCAGATGTTCCCATTATCCTTATAAAGGACCAAGTCTTTTTTGAACCCTTTTAAATGTTTAGCCTCGCTTGTATCTTTTGGCAATGAGTTGTATCTTCTGGCTAATTATGCTTTATTTGAGCTGTCAGCCATCACACAGATCTGCTGATACATTACAATCTTAATCTGCAACAGTATGTTTTTCCTATTCAGTCCCAGAGTCCTCTTCCGGCTTCCTACTCCTTAGCCAAGTCTCACTTGAAGTGAGAACGTGTTATTTCATTCCTCTGGAAATACCACCACTGTACCAATGTACCACAGTTTTCCACTGCAGCATCCCTGGTACCCAGTTCAGTGCTGGGCAACTGACAAAAAATCACACTAATTTCAGCCTGGTTTCTCAGGGTTCTCACTGGTGCGGTCTGCCAAAACAGAGTACATTTTATTTTGGAAGTGCTGTATTTTGCTTTATCTCAATCTTTCTTATTCAAAATCTATTTTAGGTTCATAAACTGGTTTCACTTTAACACATTATAGGCCCCAACAAAAATTAGTTCACATGGGTCAGATTAGGCCCCATGAGTCCTCTTTCCCACCCATTTCTTGGGCTTTCATAGCTTTCCCAGAATACCCTAATGCTGACCTGCAACAGTAGCTCCAGCTAACCTAGGCCTTGGCCCTCTCAGGCAATGATCTCAATGGACCCCCATGATCACTCACCTCACCTTCTGCCCTGTCAGCTTCTGCCCTTTTCATTAAAAAGCTAGGTGACTGTGGCATTGATGCCTACACAGTCAGATGGATAGCAAATTGGCTGAGAGGCTGCACTCAGAGAGTGGTGGTGGGTGGGTCATATTCGACCTGGAGGGATGTGAGCAGTGGAGTCCCCCAGGCTTGGTCCTTGGGCCCGCACTGTTTAATTTCTTTATTAGCAACTTGGATGAGGGGGTGAAAAGCACCCTGTTTAAATTCATAGACGACACCAAGATTTGGGGTGAGGTGGGCATGCTAGAAGGGAGGGACAGGATACAGCTGGACCTGGACAGGTTACAGGGGTGGGCAAATGAGAATAGGTTGGGATTCAATACTGACAAGTGCAGGGTGCTGCACTTGGGCAGTAAGAACCAGTAGTATACCTATAGGCCTTCTCGAGAGCACGGTGGCAGAAAGAGATCTTGGAGTCATTATCGATTCCAAAATGAACATGGGCCGCCAATGCGAGGACATGGTCAGTAGGGCTAACTGCACCTTGTCGTACATCCACAGATGCATCTCAAGCAGGGCCAAGGAGATGATCCTCCCCCTCTATGCGACACTGGTCAGGCCACAGTTGGAGTACTGCATCCAGTTCTGGGCGTTGCACTTCAGGAAGGATGTGGACAACATGGAGAGGGTCCAGAGGAGGGCCACTCACATGATCCGGGGACAGCAGGGCAGACCCTATGAGGGGAGGCTACGGGACCTGAACCTGTTCAGCCTTCACAAGAGAAGGCTGAGAGGGGACCTGGTGGCTGTCTATAAATTTACAAGGGGGGACCAGTGGGGAATGGGAGAGACCTTGTTCCCCCGAGCGCCTCCCGGAGTAACAAGGAATAGTTGCTATAAGTTGTTAGAGAGTAGGTTCAGACTAGACATTAGAAGGCACTACTTCACAGTCAGGGCAGCTAGGATCTAGAACCAACTTCCAAGGGAAGTGGTGCTGGCTTCTACCTTGGGGGTCTTTAAGAAGAGGTTTGACGATTACCTAGCTGGGGTCATTTGAGCCCAGTTTTCTCTCCTGCCCAGGGCAGGGGTTCAGACTAGAAGATCTGCAAGGTCCCTTCCAACCCTATATCTATGAATCTGTCTGCTTCCCCAAGTCCCTCCTACACCCTCCATTCTTGATTTGTAGTTTCCTAGCATTTTGAACATGATTTCCTCCGTATCTATGCTGCCCCTTGTGGAGGGACTATGCAGTGGATGAACGTACACTAGAAAATAGGCTCAGAAGATGAAACTCCAGGTATTTGGGACCTCCCACACTGTATGAGGCTTGATGCTCCCAAGTGGAAGGCTATTACATAAATGTACTTGCTGACCTCTCCTTTATTAATCCTCGCTTCTGCTTATACTGTTCTCTCCTTCACATAAAATTCTGGCAGGGATTTATATAGCCTACCTCCCTGTGGTTTTGTGTGGCACAGGAGAGGCGGCAGGTCAGCTGCAGGCTGTCCAGAATTCTGTTTAGCTTGAGGGAGCAGCTGCTGCATTTCAGGAAACAGGAGGGGGAAAAATTAGATGACAAATTGCCCACCAACTGGAGACTGTGCGGAGACTCCACTGGCAGTGCCAACCTTTGGTCTCTTCACAGAGGGCCAGTGTGTGCTGCCTGTTTTCTACCCTCCCTGAGGTTGGATGGTGAGAGCCAGCCTCTGTCTTCCTGGAAAGCTGCAAATGGAGGGTTAACCCTTTGCAATCCTAGCTGCCCAACCCACAAGTTGTTATTCCTTTTTAAGAGGGTATGGATTTAAGGCCCAACTCCACCACATCCAGCTAATGTTAAGGAAAGGAAACCATTTTTTGGAGAAATCTTTCTGGTTAATACAACAAACTCCGCCAAGGTCGTTGCTGCCATTATTGTTATATCTCAGTTCCCTGTGTCCTCTGGTTCCAGGTAACGGTCACCACAATTCACTGCCCCATCTGGAGGGCTAGATATCCTAGCCTTCCACATCCAGCTGCTTGTCCCTCTGGACTTCAACTTGCTGTCTCGAGAATGTCTCCTCGCCCACTCACTGAACATCCTACCCAAACCTCTGCCCCATGGCCTCCAAACCCTTGCCCAGAAGTTACTCAGACCATGACTTGAGGATCCCTTAGGCTGCATATCTCCAGATCCTGGCTTAAAATGACAAACATGGTTACAGATGGGATCTGCTGAGAGAATTCACCTGGGATATTGGGACTGGTGTTTCTGATAATGCCACAGATGCAATAGATCTAATTGTCTCATCTCCCTGTGTCTGTGTGTTGGTGGCTTGTTTGTCTTTGACAGACTGCTATAGGGCTGTTCAACAGTACAGTCCAAATCCACCTCCTCCTGTTCACAGACAAGACTTCTAAGGAGCATACAGAGCGAATGCATAAGTACCAGGAAGCTGCAGAATTGTTCCGAGGGAAGGTGAGTACAAAAGAAGGGGAAGAGATACTATAAGGGTGGATTCCTCTGGGAGGGAGGAGCAGTCATTTTTTCCAGGGAAGGCAATCGCATACCTGGGGAGAAGAGAGACCGGATAGGAGAAGAGGAGAGGTATCAGGGTAGTTAAGTGGATGTAGGAGACAGTTCATGAGAGGGAACAAATGTTTTCTTCCTCCTCTTGTTCATCACCATGCAGGAAAGATGCTTGATACATTCTTTCTCTTTAAAATTACCCTGTAGATTCAAATGGATGCTGAGTTCTTCTTTGCTTCTTGCCCTACATTGTTGCCTTGTGCTGTTTTAGAGACCACAAATAGCTGCTGTGTTTCACCCTAGCAATTGTTACATTCCACTGGTGTGAGGAATGACTTCTCTATATACAGCATCTTAGAGACTGAAAAACATTATATACCAATGGACAGCATTATTACTACAATACAGATAGTTAACCCTTATCCTTCTCATTAGTCCCAAGGAAAAAGATTTCTTGTAACTGGCTGTGATGAGGGATTTGCAGGTGGGTCCATTGTAAGTGTTCAATTTAGGGCTCAGGGAGAGGTTTCAAGGGAGGAAATAGGACAGATGGGGATGCTATACAGAGATTTCCTTTGCATGGTTGGCCTACATTGGATTTGGAAGCCTGGACTCTCCACCAAGTTACCACCAGCTGGCAGGAAATCAAGTAGAAATTTATCAATGCCCCCCCTCACAAAATTTCAAAACCCCCCCCCCCCCCCCCCCCCCCCCAAAAAAAAAAACAAAACAAAAAAAAACCAACCAACAAGAAAACAAGTTTATGGAAAACATTTCTGCTTCAACAGACATTTATCAATGTGACTGTTTCTTTGGAAATTTCCAAAACAGCTCTAGTAAATCACTGAATGGTGGGTGTGGTAGGTGATCTCACCAGTACCTTTTAAAGAGACTGTTTTTTTTCCCCCCTCTCCTTTTATATACATATCTCCAAACATACCCCCTTCCTGGACTCCACTGGAACTCTCCTCTAACTCAGTGCCTTTTTGTTTATCATCATTTGTTTATGGCACCTCATCCAGTTTTCCACTCATGTGAGCTGCTTAGACCCAAACTAGTGAGGATTAACCTTCCAAATAAAATTTCACAAGACACTGCAATCTACTGAAGTCCAAACAGTTTATTAATTATAAAGCAAACCAAATCTTGATTTTTTTTAGTTATTTGATACTCAATCAAGATTCCTATCAAATCAAAGTCAATGATAATTTGTCTAAGTAAAAAGAAGGCTGAAGTATTTGAGATTGGACTTATTGTATTATGCAAAATCACAAACATCTCCAGTGCTATACATATCTGGAGGACTGTATGACAAATACAGGCTGGCTGGCATCTTCTGGTTTGAGGCATCCCATGGAGAGAGTTTGATGCGTCTCCTAACTAATAGAGGCTGAGGCAGTATCTGGAAGTAATTTTATTCTCTCAATTCTCTCTCTCTCTCTCTCTTTATATATATATATAATATGTGTATATGTATGTATGTGTGTGTGTGTGTGTGTGAATCTTCATTTGCATTAGAATATATAGAATATAAAATTTGCATTACAATATATAGAATATAAAATATTCTAATGCAAATGAAGAGACTTGGATGACATACTAGAAGCACATGAGAGTTTTGGAATGTTACCGTCAGCGATGTCTTCAGAAAATCATTCATATCAATTGAAAAGATGGAAGAACAAATGCAGCTCAGCTAAACACCACCAACATTGAAGCCATGTTAATATGGCACCATTGGACAGGACATGTCATAAGGATGCCTGACTACTGGCTTCCAAAGCAGGTCCTACATTCCCAACTTACCATTGGCCACTGCTCCACTAGAGGTGGTCAAAAAAAAGAGATTCAAGGACACCTTGAAGGCCAATCTAAAGTAATGCAGTATTAATATCAATACCTTGAAGACTCAAGCACTGAATCATCCCCAATAGTGCTGTGATGCACAATAAGGCATTGATTATTTCAAGCACTCACCTCACTCTGGAGGTAAATAGACAAGAGAGACAAAGGAAAAGAGCTGTGAACCAGCAACACCTGCATCCAGTCCTTCTTCCTGGAACTTCATTTGACCCCAGCAGACTTGCTGGCTATGGCAGGGGGGCTGTACTCGATGATCTCATGAGGTCCCTTCCAGCCCCTAATGGCTATGAAATCTATGAAATCCATTAAACTATTTGCCAAATCTGCAGTTGAACATGCAGATTTCAGATTGGTCTCCTTAGTTATCTGTGGACTCACCAGTGACTTCCCTGTTTGCTGGAAGACTGCCATCCTTGTAAGAAGGGATACAACCGACAATGATCTATATGGAGAAATACAGTGTGTGTATGTGTGTGTGTGTATGTATATCTATATATATATTGTGTGTAGGTGCATGTGTGTATGTGTGTGTAATGTATGTATACATTTCTCTTCATTAGAATCTGTGGGTTGTAAAATGTTGGTTGGGGAAGCCTGAAGTTCAACTAGTAAGAAGTAAGTAGGATTTGACAGAAAAAGAGACAGGTGCTACTTTTAAAAAAGCTGGAAAAACACTTTTGAGTAAGTGACAGGTTAGGTGAGAATCAAAATATATGTTTGCTATGCACTGCAGGAGTGATTCTGTCATACTTCATAAAGGGTACTTTACAGTCGAGCCCATAACAGTTCAGAAAGGCGCTGCCAAAATTCCAAGCATTCTGCAGGAAAGAAAGTGTCAGATGTTACATTATTAAACCAATCCAGAATAAATGTCTTGGAAGCAGAGTAGGGGTTTTTTTTCTTTCAATTTTAGCTGAACACAATATGCCAAGTACAGCTGGAAAACATATGGCAAAAGTCATGAAGAAGTACTGTGTGGCTGCATATCTTCTCAAAAAGATGAGCGGTGAAACAACAACAACTTTCACAGCAAGGGATGTACCTGGATCATACTAACAAAATGATATAGCAAGTGCTGGCTGCAGCGTTCCTTTTCATATGTACATTAATCAAAGTACTGACACTAGGCATGAGAAATTGCTTGTTATCTTTGGAGAAGCCTTGTGTTAAAATAAGGCTGCCAGGTGCTTCATTTCATGGCCTTGTGTGTCAGGGATGATAGAGCATGCCTCACTAGTTAGTGGAAACGCATAACATGCCCATTCAGAGACCTTATAGCTTTCTCATCATCAGACACTTAGCTCCATGATGGGGCAATGAAACTCTATCTTACTTATGGCTAAAAGAAGCAAATCCAAATATTGTGAATATGGGCAACCTTTGTACCTTGCCAGAGATCTGTAGCCAAACTGTCACCGCCTCTTAAGGAACTAATGACTAGTCTGATGTTATTTTTAATGATCAGTTGTCACAAGCTGAATGAAATTCCCACCTTTGCTAATGGGACTGGCACTGATGCCAACCTGCCTTTCCTACTTTCTTTCCATAAGAAGAAGTACGAAAGTGGAGTTGATTTTTACTATTTCAGTAATAGTAACTAATATCCAACTAATTGCCATGTTCTTCAGTTAAATTGGAGGCACTTTGTCTAATACCAGGCCTCTGACTAAAGATATCCAGCTGGTGACATTGCATGCTGATATTTATAAGATTCTTCACTTAGGTGCTGAAAAACTGCAACAAGTTTCTAGAGCATAATGGTCTTTCTGTTTTGGATCATTCTAGCAACCTATTCCAACATGGATATCAGAGTTAGATATAACATGAAGGAACATTTGAGAAAGAATATAGACAACCATTTAGGACTTCTGTTAAGTATTTTTCAGGTGATGTAGCAATGCTACACCTTGCTGCCTACTGTCAATATGCTGAAGAGGTTTCTCCTTGAGCATCACATGTGGATGAATGCAGGATTTGTTTCAGATCCAGCCTCTAAATATGATCAGTCAGGAATCCTGATCAGAGATCTGGTTTGGCTTTTTGCCTTGATGCTTATAATTCTGAAAAGGACTGTGGCTAGTTGTGTGAATTACTGATGGATGAATTTGAAAGCACTGGTTACATTTAGAGGATCAGCAAGTAGACCACATTGCTACATGTCAAAACAGCAGAGTGAGTTCTGAAATAGGGATATTCATCTGAATAACTGCCTCATTTCAAAAGATTACTCACGGTTGTAATTTCCTTCCCCCACTCAAATGCTGAGCCTGAAAAGACTTTCAGTATGTCAGGGCTGTGAAAACTCGCTTCACCAATCCCATAAGGATGGAGGCCCAGCTACCCTGGGAGCCCAAATACCCTGAGAACCTGGACTACAGAAAAGGCTTTCATAGTGCAGGTTCCTGGCACTGTAGGAGGGAACCTGAAACTCCTGAGAATGCCAGTTCCTGGTGAGGATCTAGGACTTCTAGGCTCCCAAGCTCAGTGGATCAGGGACCATGACAGCCCTGGACTGGAAGTCCCAGTTCAGAGCCTGAGTTGTCTGAGTTGCTAGGCTGCACCCTCCATGGAGGAGAGCTAGGAAATTCCAGCTCACTGTGGGTTCCTTGGGCTTCCAGGTTCCCTGTACCATGATAAGGAAACATTCAGGCTGTTCCTGTCTCTGAGAGCTCCTGAGGTTTTCTGAGCAGTCTAGAGAATCCTTCAGAATTGGAGCAACTCCAGGAATCCTTAGAAATTGTAGCAGTCGGCTACTCTGTTTTAGGTTTAAAAAAATGAAAAAAAAAAAAATTTTCTGAAGGAATTTAAAAAAATATATATTTTCCAAAGGAAGTTTCAAAATTTTACTCATTTTTGTTCCAAGGTGGAATAAAAACTTTCTTGAAATGTTGGAATTACCTGTTGAAGGGAAAATGTTGAGTTTTGACAAACCCTCTTCTATGGAAACACTTCATCAAATTGCAACATGATGTTATTTGAATCACACAGTCAGCAAATCTTTTTTTATAATTTAGAAGTGCAATGCAGTCATGGTGCTGCATTTAAAGACGTGGGTTTTAGATCTTTTGACCACTTGTCATTTATGTTGAAGGCGTGTTTCAGACACTGGCATGTTGGAAGGTTGAGAGAGATTTGGGGAATGGAGACATAGCAGTATGTTACCTATACACTATAGTTTAACAATACAGTATCAATTTTAGATTTATAATTGAATATACAAGGCCAAATTCTTAGCTGATATAAACTGTCATAGCTCCACTGACTTCTCAGCCTGTCCTGGAGGAGTCATTCCATTTTGTATAGCCATTCACTGAACCAGGAAGGGAGGCTGCTCCTAAATCCTGGTGATTAGGTTACTTACCTGGATGTAGGAAACCAGGTTCATAGACCTGAGACATTGCTTAGAGACAACAACTTGAACCCAGGTCTCCCACAGCCTATGTGGGAGGCTACCAGGCTACTCTGTACTCTCCCATTGTTGACCTGGGAGAGCTTCCCAACAAAATTTTAATTTATTCTATTTTTCTTGAAAAGTGTTGATTAGACTAATAGAGAGTTTCTGATTTTAAAAAATACATTTTGTTAAAAAAATTCCCAGCCAGCCCTGAAATTATGAATAGAGAACAGCTGTACATTAGCTACAAGTTTGTTCGGGTTATCAGGTCTCAAAGTCTGAGCACTGCCATCAGTTCCTTCTATACTACTCGACTTCATAGGCTCTCAAACAATAACACTCAGTAATTTGCACAGTCCTTGACGAGAAGACTGGGGAGTATCCAGGCTATGATGCATATTAGCCCTTACGTCTAATTACTTGTGGAATACATTTCATGCCACATCCTGGTACTCATTGGGAACTTGATATTCTAAAACACACTGGAGTCATGTTGTCTAGACACTCTGACAACATAGCCCTCTAAAATTCTCTGGGAGAGTTCCTTTTGACTGGTCGAGTGAAACAGCCAATACATGGTGTCTTATACTTCTTAGCATGTCATGTGTATGAGGGACAGGAACTTCGGCTGTACCTCGGCTTCCTCAGTTTGATTCAAAAGTGATAACTTTCTTATCATCAAATTCATCCAGGGCAGAAGTTGGGGACTTGCTGACCTCAGGCTTTCTAGCTGATGTCTCACTTATAGCTGGCTTATTAATTTATCTTTAAGTCTTGTGTATATGAAGAAAACAAACACTAAGAAAAAAAATACCAGCTTCACTGCTTGAATGCTTCAACCTTAAACCCTCAATTTTTGGTGCTAAAATATTCATTTATTACTATTCTTTTGGGCAATTTTAAATAAAAAACTGGAATTTTGATGAAAAAATAACCTAAATTTTATTGACTTTCTTCAGTCACTTTGACCAGCTATAAAGCTGCTATAGGGTGGGCAATGAAATTCACACACCCAGTCAAAGTGTACTGCCATCCTCTACTGATGAACCACCCTGTGGCTGCTCTTTTCCACAGCTGGGCAGCCAAAGACCAGCCTCCACTTCAATCACTCATGCCCCTCTTTTTAACAATAGTACACTGCTGTACTTTGCTTCTTGACTGATTAGTGCTCCTTGTGCACCCCTGGCTTTCTGACTTGCTTCCTCATTCTGCTTCTCCTAATCCTGATTCCAGCTCTGCAGTCCTATTCCTGGTTCCTTGGTTTTTCAACTCCTGACATTGGCTTCTTAGCTCTGGATTCTGATCCCAGTTTCTGGATCCTGCCACTGCCATCCAGGTGATCCACTCCGACTGCCCACACCTTGGTCCCTACACTGTTGTTATGTGTGGGACAGGGTCATGGTTTGGGGATGTCATGGGCTTACCATTTGTGAGGACCCTTATTTATTTGGCAGTGATCTATATGCAGACCTCCTATTCCCTAGACTGGATCCCTGGACAAAATGTGCATCCAGGTCTGAAATGCATCCAGGATCAATATACTGTGCTTTTGGATTTGAATTAGCAAGGTAGCCTCTTAAAACAGCTTGCCATGGCATGAATAAAGAGACTAATCTGGAGTCAACAGAAAAGTGAGAAGTAGCTGAGAGATCTGGATCCAAGGGATGAACTTTGAGCATCAAAGTGGCATAAAGAGCATCTCAATGACTTTTGTATTCTAATGTTCTATTGTTAAAAAGAGGGGCATGTCTGATTGAAGTGGAGGCTGTTTTTTGGCTGCATATAGACCGCTGTCAAATAACTAAGGGTCCTCACAAATGGTAAGTTCATGACATCCCCAAACCATGACCCTGTACCCCACATAACAACAGTGTAGGGACCAAAGTGTGGGCAGTCAGAGTAAATCACTTGGATGGCAGTAGCAGGGTCCAGAAACTGGGATCAGAGTCCAGAGCTAAGAAGTCAATGTCAGGAGTTGAAAAACCAAGGAACCAGGAATAGGACTGCAGAGCTGGAATCAGGATTAGGAAAAGCAGAATGAGGAAGCAAGCCATAAAACCAGGGGTGCACAAGGAGCATTAATTAGGCAAGAAGCAAAGTACAGCAATCTTTGCCCAGGCAGCTTGCTTCTGTCTGCTGTGCTCTTATAAAACCCTGTATAGGTGGGGACCTCTTCCTGTAGCCCAGGAGGTTGATGACTCAGATTTTGTCCCTGACTACCCAGGTGGGCCCTGAGACTGACTCATTCCCAGCTAAGCCCAGGCTCTTTACAAAGGGATAGGACAGCTCTGGATAGGACTGAAGTGGGACTGTGGAGATACTTATCATCCTGTAGCCCAAGCCTACTCTGGAGAAGGCCCCAACAATTTTTCTTTCCTTTAACTGATGATCTTTCAGGCACAATTCATTTCTGGAAGAGAACAGGCCTCTGGTGAGTGTGTGGAGTGGTCCGTAAGACTGCTGTTACACTCCCCTGGTTCCAGAACCTTTTTGCTGCCTGTATGCCTTTCAACATTTCTCCAAAGAGAGGACTGTCCTTTCCTCTGCATGTCTGATGAATCATGCTCAGGATCTGGATAGAATCCCAGACCTTAAGAAAGCATAGTGTCAACAACATTGGTGTCAGTTAATAGTTTTGTACAACTGTTTGCTGCGAGGGGGTTATATGCCTTGTGTGTCCCACTACCTCTTCCTACTCATGCAAATGCCACCTCATGTCTAGTTATAGCTGCTGACCTGAACACTGGTAAGTCCCTAATATCTACTGTCCTCTTGGGCACCTCTGTCTCTGTTGCTTTGTTATACTCTTGCACTTACATCTCACTTTCCTTTCACAGTCCTTGTTCATAAAGGTGCCTTCTTTCTATTGTACTTCTAGGGGCTGAGTGCTACCAGTACTATCCTGCCTTTGACCCGTAAACCAAGGCCCTGTAAGAGAATGCAGCTGCTTTTCCAGTTGCCGTAGAAGCAGCAGAAAACTTGCCTCCTTGTCCTGTAGTGGGATCAGACTAGCTAACACCTCCCTGCCAGATTCCATTATATGGTAATATAAGTCTAGATGGAACAAAATAGTGGAAATGCATTTCAGTAAGACGGTCCACATTGGTTGAGGATGTTTTTGATTTAATACTGTACTGTAGATCTTTTCAGGTCTAGCATCTATATAATGCACTACAGCTGTATCATTGTAAATCTTTGCATGATGCCATGTTTGTGCAATGAGTTTTTTTCTCTCTGTATTTTGCTCTCCCTCTTTCTCTTCACTCTGTTGCAGATTCTGTTTGTTTTGGTGGACAGCAATGTGAAGGGCAATGACCGTGTGATGTCATTCTTCAAACTGAAGAAGTCCCAGCTGCCAGCTCTCGCTATATTCCACACCCCAGATGAAGAGCAGGATGTGCTACCACTGGGTGACGTCTCCGTGGAGCATGTGCAGGACTTCTGCAATGCCTTTTTGCAGAGAAAGACTAAGGTAAGAGAGGGCTGTCCCCTGTGGTTGAGTTGTATTGTTCACATAGCTCCTGAGCAGGAAAATATCAGATGTCTGTAACTCCCTTCCATTTCTAAATATTATAATAAAGAAAATAGATTTTCAGGTGTAGCAAAACTGGTTGGGTTTGGAGATCCCCTGTCCACTGGCATGTGGAGAGATGGACTTCAAGGGTGATTGACACTTACTAAATGCAGTTAACACATGAGAAAATGCACATTTAAGCAGCTTAGTATGCGTTAAGTACCATCATGGCATTGCAAAGTTGCTCCTTTTTAGGCATGGATTATCTAATGTACTAATTTTAGTACATCACAGTATGCCAAAAATTTGCAACTGTTGTAAGTAAATTATTGTGTCAGGCTGTGGCCTTGAACCTGGAGCTCTGGCCTGCCTGGCAGAGTAGCCCATCCCAGTCTGCCATCTCCCCAACAGAACATTGGTTGGACACAGATGGACAGAACTCTGTCTGGGCCACACACCCACTCCCTGCCACAGGACTGGGCAGCCTAGGTCAGCTGACCCATTACCCCTCCCAATATAAACCCCTGACCTGAAAGAGGAAACGCCTGGGCAGCAAAGTTCAGTTTTGTATTGAGGCTACTGTACTTCTGGCTTATGCTGCTACTGGCTTCCTGACAAACTCTCTGAGTACCCAGCCTGACTTGCCCCTGAACCCCTGAGTTTTGCCTGACTCTTTGGATATCTGACCTGATTCTGGTTTTCTAGATACCTGACCTGGCCAGCATCCTTACCCTGTGCTCTTCCTGAATCTCTGGATCTCTGACTCAGCTCCTCAGACAGATCTCCTGGTTTCTGGCTTCCCTATACTCAGAATCAGTACACTGGTTGCCTACAACCTGGCATGACAATGTGACTACAACCGGAGACTCCAAACTTACCTGAGATAACTTCTAGGGAGGAGCAAGGACCCTAATCTCTATGTTTATCAAGTCCTGGGCATCTATTATGTTTATAATACTCAAGTTACTGTCTTGTATGTGAACTTGTATGCTAGATAGCCCCATGATGTGCATCATAGTCCACCAGACTTTCTGGCCTAGTGAATAGAGCCAGTTGTAGAGCTGGAGGCTGCAGGGGTAAGGGTTAGTAGCCACGAATCAGGAGCCAAAATGCCAAGCTAAGGTCAGGAGTTCAAAATCAGAAAGTCCAAGCTAGGATCAGGAAACAGGTCTGCAGGTAGAATTCAGAGGCCAAAATCCAGGAGCAAGTCAAAGGCAAGGTCAGGAGTCAGAAAAGCTGAGATGTTGCTAGAACAGCAGCTGCTCAAAGACTGGAGACCAGTGTGTTGTGCACAAGGCTCAGGTGCTAGAGGAGTTGCTGAAATGCAGCTCTAGAACCAATCAGAGGGAAGGGGTTGAGGATTAGCGGGCCTTGATTAGTGCTAACTGGGTCAGTGCACTTAATAGGGGCTGCAGAGCAGGAGCTTGACTGAGCCTTACAGAGCTGAGCCAGACTGCAGTGCAGGAGCCTTACAATATGTGAAAGTTACTCAGAGCCAGTGAAAGTTAGAGGGAACTGAAATGTGATGGGGACAGTTCAGTAGCCCAGGCTGCTTAAACAGGACATTAAATCTCTTTTCCTTTTAATCCCCATGCTAATACACAGTGGCATCAACATGGCTTTCTTGGTTTTAATGTGTTTTAGAAAGAAGATCCTGGACTAGAGGAGGATGCTGTTAAGGTGGAGCTCTGACTTTCCTCTCGGCTACTGGATATGTCATTGTGTCTGTGTCCACAACCACCTGTGCTTGGTCTAGAAAGGATCTAGTGTGCACCAGCAGCTCTGGAGCCCATGGGACAATGGGAAAATGAAGCCAAGTCAACCAGGATCAATCCCTCTGTGTTCCATATAGCATACATGCTCTCTGTTCTCTTGAGGTCCCTCTCTTTCCTCCTCACTTGTCAGCTCCAGCCCCCTCATTCCAGTATTCCAAGAGCCATAGCACGGTACTGTCTCTATCCTCGGTTTTCCCTGTTTGCTACCACAGATGACATGGGTGGTATTAAAACACGGTGTCAAGAACATGGCTTGCAGTTTACAGAGACAGGCTGGTCTGTTTCCTTGATACTGCAATGTCTTTATAGTTGACTCCCTTTTCTCTAACTGTTGCCATGCTGGCTCTTATAAGCTTCTCCTCGTCTGAGAGCTGATCTATTGCTTGAGGTCACCTGATCTTTTCCATTACATTTTACTAAATAAAGCAGAAAGTGAATAACCTGAGTTTTTGTGCAAACTTCCTGTGTTTCTCCCCTACCCTTGAACTCAGTAAGCCTAAATATCGCTAAGAAAAGTCCTGGATCTTCTAATTGAATGTAAATAACTTTGTAAGATTAGTTATTGGGTAACCATTAGTATCACCCTACATTTTGGGTGACTTAGGTTTGACTTGGATATCTGCATGGTTTAATGAGACAGAGAAGTTGTGTGAAGACCTAGGACCAAATAGAACTAGATATAGTAAAGGTGGGATTAGTGTATATTGGCATTGCTGTAGGGGACTGCAGACCTGGGATATCAAGAAGTGTCGTAGGTTTGTATTACAGTGTATGGTGAAAACCACAGTGTGTAGTGGAAAGATATGTTGCAGTGGGATGGTTGTCTCAGGACTGGAATAGTAAGAAGTGCTATGGAGCAGGATTCAAAGGATGGGCTGAAGTCCCAAGGCAGGAACAGGAAGGGGTGATGCAGGTGAGATATGCTATCCATCTCACTGCTTTGCTCCATCACATGTATGCAGCAAGCTTGTATCACATTTGGCACAGCAGCTTTGATTTACAGACTGCTGCTCCCATCAGACAGCGACTGCATTGTCTCTCAAGGAAAGACTTGGCTTGGCAGAGAGGTGTCTAAGTGCTTCAGAGCTGAGAAACCACAGTTTCTTCTCAGAGATTGGCCCAAAGCAAAGAGCTGGGAGTGGAAAGCAGGATGTGATCTCCCTGGTGAGTAAAACAAAACTTAGCTGCCCACCCCAGAGATAAAAGCCAGCATTGGTAGAAGCAATGTGAAAATAGCATCATGAAGGAGGGCAGACTAACTCACTAGAATGAGGTTCATAGTAACAAGGTCTTCTTTGTAAGTGTAGTGTCACTTCTAAACCGGTGATCTCAACCTTTTTGGACTCGAGGCACCCTTCACTGGACTTGAGACCTCTCTCCATAACTTTTGAAAATTCAGTGGCACCCAGTTAAAAAAAAACAAACCACCATATATGTTATAGTACTTATCCTCTTCCAGAAGGGCTGGGCAGCAAGGGTGGAGGATTACTCGGGTAGGGACAAGCCTGAGTCTGCAGTTATTTGCTTAGTTTGTCTGCTTATCTTCTTATGCCTCACTTACCTTCTCATGCCTTGTGGAAACTTTCAAAGGAATTGGCAGCACCCCAAGGTGTCCCAGCACCTTGGTTGAGAATCACTGTTCTAAACATTAGTTCCTGCCTCCCTTAGGGAGATTAAGCTGGTCTGTCTCTATTATATTCCTGTGGGTATCCTCAAAGCAACTGAACTTGCTTCATCTCAGTGCTCTAGTGTCCCATTTTCTTTGCTTGCCTGAGACAATACACCAGGGGTGGCCAGAGTTAAGCGGCCCAAAGAGGAGGTGACTACCCCTGCAGCCCGAATACTGTTATGCATAGAGCCAGCAATTGACACAGCTGGAATACTGTACTTTGGGACATGGGCAGCTTCCACCATTAATCTATTTGTGGGGGCTTTCCCTGATACTCCTGCATCTGATTTATATGGTTTACTTACGTGCCATTGCACACCTTTTCCCCCAGAAACTTAGCCTTCCAAAATTGGGGTGCAGGCCTTAAGTGGGGAAACCCAGAATAGAAGCATTCTGCTCTACCTGAAATTTAAAACCAACTAATGCACCATAATTATGGTGCATTAAGTTTAGTACCTGTAATGACAGGTACTAACTTAATGTGCCATAATCGGCACTACTGCACATTAGCACAGATAAATGCTTTATTAGTGATGTTAATACCCATCAGACTAAATCTATTGCACATTAAGTGCTGTACTAATGCATAGTAGAATTAGTCTTCTGCACATTAAGTGTCTTATGTAGATGCACCCAATAAGGAGAGAGGGAACAGATTTTTTCAGTATTTCTCCTTCCATTTCCCTAATTCTTCATTTCATATGCAGAGATGTTTTCTTGCATAGAGAATGCCCCAGAAATATAACGTACATCCTGTTTTTAAAAGGCAGCATGAAGAAAAAAGGATCCTACCTTGTACTACAGATAAGTAACTAAGTAGTAGCAGCTAGAAGCTGAGCCTGCTACTGAGCTGTTGTTATCTGGATGGTGGAGAGGGGGCTCTCCACAGGTCTGGAAATTTGACAGCTGGGTAGCAGTGGTAGCAGTAATAGCTATGGTACTCTCAAAGCCATGGCATTTAATGCTGCCACTACTCCTCTGCTGCCAAATTTCCAGACCCCTGGGGATCCATATGTCTTGCATAAATGCACCCAATTTCCACCAGCTGATTCTGGGGGGGAAAGGCGTGTGTGTTATGTAAGAAAATACAATACATAAGTATTTCCAGCCTAAGTTCTGATTCTGCACACTGTTGCATGGGGAGGGAAGTTGTTGACTTCCTATGGGCTTTACATTGATGCAAAGTTCTGCACAGTGCAGGACTAGAACATTAGGTGTGACATTCACATGACAATTTTACCCATGCATTTATGTCAGTTCAGGGTTTGAACGCAAACTAGTATAGTTGTATCCATACATGTCCTTGTGTGGACAGAATAAAGGTGCCTTAGAGTGGTATAGCTTTTTCTCTTTCCAATACAGGAATAGCTGATATCAATATAGAACATCTTTATACCAAGTTAGTTTTATGGATGGCGTATGGCTTGGAGTATACCGATACAGATGAAGCAGTACAACTTCCAGCTGTATGCAAGACCTTTGTTTGTACATGGCTTAATCTTTGTATGTACTTTAAGTGTCATGTACACCTGTGGTCTTATGAAAATAATAAATAGGGAAACAGCCCACTTAGCATACTGTGTAGGTGCTGGGAACAGCCAGATCAACACCTTGCTCTTTGTGCAGAGTAGCTGTATTGCCTTGCCTTTCAAAATTCAACGTGATCATTCTACAGTCCCATGTGCCAGCACTGAGAAAAACAAAACAGGAAGTGAGAAGAAGCTGTGGTTTTGCAAACATGTTTGAGTGGCTGTCCCATCAGTGCACACAGCTAATTTTAGGGCCAATTTTTAAAGAGCCTTATTGTGTATGCTGGCAAGCTTAATTCCCTCTGTGTCTTCTGGAGCATTAAATCCAAATCAACAAACCCTTGAACCACAATGTGGTCAGGAAAGCATCCTCCTCCACCCCCACTTTGCCGCAGCCCAATATTGTTACAATATAGAAAGCCACACCATGCTGGCCCCAACAGACCCTGGAGCAGGGATGACAGCGATGGTGGAGAAAGGGAGCTGGGCTGAAACTTTCCCTCAAAAGTCTCCAGAATTGAGCTAGGAGCCTAGTTGCTACAATTGCTAGACATTACCAATGTGAATGGGAGAGGGACAGACTTGCTTCTTGGAGATAAAAGACAATAGAACTGGGTAAATTTTGTTGGCAAATAAGTTATTCTGGCTCTCACCTTCTGGCTGTCACCATAACTTTAACATTCACACAGTAGATCTGTTTCTCCTTTCTATGCCCAGGTTAGAATACCTCGCAATCTACTGGGCCAACCTGTCTCACAATTTCAGATGGGCCTTGGCAGCAGGTCAAACATTTGCTTGTGGAGCTGGGAAGGAGGATTAGGAACTCTCTCTCCCTTGTGTTCTTATTGTACTGCTCCTTTTGCCTATTCTGCGCATTTTCTAAGTTATCCATGGCTACCCTGTTAGTGACCCGCAGCTTTTCCCTCAGGGAGGTCGCATAACAAGAGGCCTCCACCCTCCCTCACTACAAATAAGAGAGGAGGAACTAGCAGGTCCCATCGCCTAGGGTCCTCTTGGGTGCAGCGGCAAGACATATTCTTAAGGTTCCCATTAATACGTTCCACCAGCCTATTGGTTTGAGGGTGGTAGACAGAAGTCCACAAAAGCCTAATCCTGAGGACTTGACAGACACCTTTGAGGACATGGGACATTAAGTTAGTCTCCTGATCCATAACTATCTCCCGGGGAATCCCTACTCTGGATTTAATCAGTTCCTCTGCTACCCTCTTGCCCATAACAGTCCGTAGAGGTGTGGCCTCTGGATACCAAGAAGCATAGTTAATCATCACCAATACAGACTGGTGACCTCTTGAGCTTTTAGGCAGAGGACCCACCACATCTAACGCAATACAAGAGAATGGGTCAGTGATAATCAGCAATACCTGCAACGGTACCTTAGGGAGTTTTCTTTGACTCACCCTCTGACACTTGGGACTTGCTGCACAAAACTGCACTACTTCCTCATATAAATGGGGCCAGAAAAATTGGCAGGAAAGACTTTTGGCAGGGCACCATCAAAAACTGGCAGGGAACCATCTTTTCCTTCCTGAGATGACCTCTGAGGGGATTTGCATGGGCCAAGTGCAGCAAAAAGGTCCTCAATGCCTGTGGCACCATTACTTGGGCTATCTTTCCCTTCTCCCCATCCCTTCTCAATGCGTTATAACAGCCTGTTCCTAACCTCACGCTGGGGTAGCTGTTCACATAACTCAGGATGCATTACCTACTGCTCTCTCCGTGCTATATTGGTTTCCCATGTGGCCTGGAAGGCCGGTTCTCTTCTCTGCGCCTCCCTAAATTGAGTTCCACTAGCGAATCCCTCCATATTGAAGGGTGTATTTTCTTCCTCATTGGTCAGCTCTTCCTCTTCTTCTTCAATCAGACACATCTGGAGGCTGTCCTTGGCCCTGATGGCATCCAGAATATCATAAATCTTGAGCTAATCCCGGCCCAGCACCATTGGGTATGGCAGGTCTGGCTCCACTCCCACAGGCATCTCTCTGGTGACCCCATGTGCTGTCACTTGGACTCTTCATCTGGCATAAATAGAGGCGCATCCATAAATGCAGATCATCTTTATGGGAGTGGGAGTAGACATCCATTATGTGGTATAAGATCTGCTCCTACTAGAGTCTGTGACCACCCTGTGTCAACAATGGTCCACACCGGTCTCCTGGCCATATCCACCATCACGTTTGTTTTTCTCGTATGTCATCAACTGCGGTCTTCCCCAGGCTGCAGT